CGCATAATCATTTGTTTCACTTTTCACTCATCATTTCGTAACTCTTTATATTCCTATTGTAGTCATCCTTGAAGTGCTTTTCAGTTTCCATTATTCATAACGTAATTATCAAATTATCTTCTCTATCGATAATAGAGTTTACTCTTTCAGTAATGTTCATCCGTTTGATTGCATACATATTTTTCTAATACATTATATATTCGCTAAACAATTGATTTAATGATATATTAATGAGGCCTTAAAATAGTGCCAATGCATTGAAAATAGCCATTGAATTTAAAGGTAATTCACGGTAACGATCAATGTTTGTTTGTTTATAAGAAGAAATATAGTGAAAACGATTTTAACATTTATGAGCCGTAATGAATGAATGGAGTAAATCATAATATTTAATATATTTTTAATTGTAATTCACTTTACGAGCACTCATTACAGCACTAGTTATAGCCCGAAGGTATCCAAACAGTTGATACCCCGGTTTGAGTGGTATTGAGGTTTTTAAATATCAAGTGCCCTAATATCAGGTTTGACAATCACTGCTGTTTTATAGCCAATATTTTTTTATAAATTTATATTATGCATAACTATTTACCATTAAAATGCAAAAGTGAAACCAGTATTGGCATAGGTTTAAGGTCTGCAAAGTAGTAGAAAAAACATATGGAAATACACATACATTAATGCTATCGGCAATTGAAGGCTTTCTAAACTTTATATAATTTGTCTCCACTTATGAGGAAAGTTTTGCTCAAAAATCATAATACGAGAACAATCTGGACGGTAAAAACTGCTTTCGTGGCACCGCAGCGCCTGATTAGCCCTCGGATGTGACCCAATAATAGCGCTCAGCTCTGAAAACACACAACTTTTACATTTAAAATTTCGCTCACATATGAAGTCAGTCCTCTCTGTTCTCTCTCACACTCTCTATCATTCCTCAGCCTCGCTATCAATTGCGATATAATTGTAATCATTATTACGTAAAAACTTTATCGATTGTGTTTTGATTTAAAGGATTCAAAAACCCTTTGGAAGTTTTGGTACAAAAAAGTTTGTTTTCTGTTTATTTCAAAGAACTTATTTCCATATATTATACTTTCGGTTACATTTATATCACATAAATTAAGAGAGAATGAGTGAAATATCGATAGAGAGCGGACGGATTGAAATCGATGGCAGAAACCTTTATTACGAAAGGGCCGGAACTGGCGAACACGTCGTTCTACTACTACCCGGTGTTCTCGGTATGTGTCCATACTTTTCACACAATATAGTATATTGTATATTATTGTGTATTATATTGTATATTGAATATACTATTTATATTGTATTTTTATTTATTAATTAAAATATAAATCTTACGGAGCATTTATTATTATATAAACTTTTAGTAAATAATATACTTGATGATTTATTGATTTTTAGTCAATATTTAATGTTTAAACATATCTAAAAATAAATATTTTGATTGATAGGAACGGTTCAAATTGAATTCAAACATCAGTTCCAAGGCTTCGATCTCTCGGCGTTTACATTAGTGTCTTGGGATCCGCCGGGCTTTGGTCTGAGTCGACCGCCAGAAAGGGTCTATAATGACGCTTATGTCAGAGATTCTGATTTAGTGGTAAAATTCATGAAGAGTTTGGGTTACGAGAAATACAGTGTCATGGGATTCAGTGACAGCGGCCGCACGTCCATGATATTGGCGGCCAGACATCCGGATGTGATGCGAAAGCTCGTGATTTGGGGCACTTGTAGTTTCATTGGCGATAAGGAGAAGAAGACACTGAGTCTCTGCAAAGAGGTCTCGGGTTGGAGTAATGAACGCAAGAATATCTTCGAACCCGTCTATAAGGACGACCTGCAGATGGTTTGGGGCGCTTGGGTTGACGCCAACAATCGGCTCCAAGACTTCGCCACTCCTTATCTGAAAGACATAACGTGTCCGACATTTATACTGCACGGCGAGAACGATATCGTCACTCCTATGGAACCGCACGCACTCCACCTCAAGAAGAATATAAAGGGCGCTCGACTCGTCATTTTCCCCAAAGCCCCGCACACTTGCCATCAGGAAAAGGCCGCAGACTTTAACCGCTTAGTACAGGATTTTCTACTCAAATGATTATTTTAATGTTATTTAAAATTTTGCCAATTATTATGCAATCTATCATTTAGTTTCCATTGAAGTGTTTTGTGAGAATGATGGAAGAAATTGTTTTTTATTATAAATCATTTATTGGTATAAAAGTAATAACATTAATTATTTTGTTATCCATTTTTAATACTATATTATATCTATTGATTAAGTTTTCGTTTTTTATAGTTTTCAATCATTTATTTCCTAAGGCTATAAAATATAATTACAAAGAAGTATTTAAAGTTTTTTAAATATAATATTAATATTATAATATAAATTATTACAATTTCAATAAAATTTTGAAAATAAAATATTTTCCTTAATCTAATGATCTTTAGTCTTAAGTGAATATTAATATTGAATATCTAATTGAATATTTTAATGAATTTATAAACGCAATGATAACTTGGTTGAAGTGGACATTGACTTCATCGCCGAATCGATAACTAAGGGTTTAATCAAACCTTTTTCAGTCAAACTGTCTGTGTTTGGCGTTTCATTTGTTTTCAATCCGTTATTCCACTTATATTTCATATTTTCGTGCATTGATTGCCATTTCTTAGTCCAACAACGACTCAATCGTGAGGTGTGTTCGTTAAGCGATGGTCTCGTTTGGTGTGAATCCATGTGCTCTTCATTATCCCAAACACGTCTATTAAACTTCATGTCAAACCACGACCACTCAAACTTAGCTCTTGACTCTTTGCCCACCAATTGATCCGTTTTTTCCACTTTTGATTCGTCAGACATTATATTAAACTCAATTTTTACCACAAAAACAAATTTATTTATTAATTAATGTCAAACTTTCGGAAGTTTGAGAAAATTATTACTTATTAATTCAATTATTCAATAAATACATTAATTATAATTAAAAAATAAATATTAATAACTTTTAAGCTAATATTATAATGCTGTGCTAAAACTTTGTTTAGTGAGAATTGAGTACAACATTAAAATAAAATTTACAAACATTAATGCAGAAGTGAATGAAAGTATAACAAAAGTGTTGCCCTTTTATAACTTTTCGCTGCAAATAAACTTTTGAAACTTTTTCTCAATTTTCATCATCTTTTTGTTACACATTGAAGGAGTGATGAAATAAATTGTTATCATTTCGACTATTATTGTACTTTAATGTTATATAATAAGTAAGACCTTATTTGAAGTGTTTTATCATGTATGATATTCAAGTAATAATTTATTTGATTATTGATGATTAAGTTATTATATAATTAAATGAAATCTTGAAATAAGTTAATAATACAAATTAATTCCTTTAAAAATGCTTCCGTGAAAAATAGCTATCATTTAAAAGTCAAAGTTTTTAAAAATTATTTAATTGGCATATATTTAGTCCTTATTTCAAGCATTAAGTCGTTTGGAATGTATTAATTAGTTGTCAAATAAACTAAACATAAATATATTTATTATATTTAAAAAACATTGAACTAATCTTTAATTAAAATTGAAAAATAATTTTATCGCATAATAAATAAATAAATTTTAAATATGGAAATTTGTAACTTTGAATTAAATTTCAAATAAAAATGCAAATAGATTGAAAAAAAACACAGTTGTATAAGAAATCAACCATACGTAAAATTATATAAAACAAAAAATATTAATACCGTCATTATTTAAATTATTAACACATTATATGTAACCAAAAATAACTGATACTTATTATGCGAAAAGTTAACAACATTTACGTCTATTGTCAAAAAAAAATGTTAACAAAATTCTCGGTAAAAAATATACTGTATGTCTGTTTTCTTACTTTAATTTATTCTAACATTTCTGGGAAATCATTGAATTTATTATTTTAATACAAAAATACCCAAAATTTCAACACACTATCAATGAACATGTTCATTTTATACTGTACTGTACAAAGAAGTGTTGCATATTTAGTAGGTTTCAAATGATCGTGACGTTAAAAGTGAAGTTATGCACGATTTATAACTTGTTCAAAATATAAGCTAATAATAGCTTTACCTGATTATAATGAACCCCCATTATAATGAACACACGTGATCGCAAAAATACCATAAGTGCCGGTATAGTAGGCAATACTTATGCAATACTTACGCAATGCTGACCCAGTATTGACTGGTTTAGTGAATGAATGAATTGATTGTATTAATATAGATATGTATACAATATATACGCATAGATGGCATCACTTACACAATGAATGCATCGTTTGTGAGACAAACAGTGAACTGAATGTTTGATTTGTTGCCAATATTTTAATCATTGATTTAATCATAAATTGTTTACAATTTGTTTTGATTTGTATTCAACGCTAGCATTGAATGCATTGAATGTTTGCCACAACTGTTGCCAAACGTCTCGATTGAAGCCTTTGTTGCGGTTATTGTCGTCGAGTTTGGGACCGAAGAAGAGTGACATATGGATCCGGTGTCGCCGTTGTCTGCCATGTCATCGATGGTAACCAATATTGGATCCGATGACAAGACCAGCCATAGAGTAAGCATTGAGTCAATTGTTGTCTTATTGAATAGCAATGATATGAATGACGACTATAACCACGAAATACGGACCAAAAGCGGTGATAATGCGCTTGAATTGATCCATTTGTCGCCAATTGAGTTCACTTTCTGTAATATCAACCAATTGTCCGACGCTTTACTGGATGTCCACAACTGGTCCGCACTCTGTCTGACGAGTAAGAGATGTGTCGACGCCATAGAGATGGCCATCAATTGTCATAACAATCACAATGTAATGGATTTGTGGATCAAAAACAATAAGAGAGTATTTGTGGTCGGAATCAAGTCTTACGAGTATTTAAGGGATAGACTTCACTGCGAGTCCATTGGAAGCGATTGTGGAAATGCAGATAATTTGGCACAACTTATGGTCAGTGAATACGGAGATGAATTGATTGGCAAAGAAGTGCTGTTTCCGTGCAGCGAATCCAGAAGTGATAGTTTGCCGCAATCGCTCGCAAACGCCTCCATTAGTGTCAAAGAGATAATTGTCTACAAAACCACTACTAATAGACATTTGGAGTCAAAAGTCATTGAATTAAGCAATTATTTAACCGGTTTTACGGATGAAATGCTTTCAAATCACTTAAAGCTAATCTTTATATTCTTCAGTCCTTCTGGTGTTAAATCTATTTATCCTTTTCTAACGGATTATATCATTAAAAATGACAAAATTAAAGACAAAGTAGATGTGAGATATGTAGCCATCGGTAACACTACCGGCGCTGCTCTGCAACAGTTAGCACTAAATCTCTGGTTCTGTTCACCAAAACCTAATCCTAAATCCTTAGCCCAATCTTTGTGTGATTTTTTATCCATAGAGTAAGCCTTTGTGTTAATCACTAACAAAACTGACATAACTTTTTTGTTTTACTTTATCCTTGAATTAAAGGCACCGGAAGTCAAGTCACCGCTAAGACTACGGCTCGAGAGTTGGCTCAACAAAAACATGAAGATATTGATGAGTGACGGCAGGACTTTAGTCGGCATCTTCTTGTGCACCGATCGCGACAGGAATGTCATTCTCGGCTCATGTCTTGAATACCTTAAACCCAATGGTATTGTCACACATTATAACCGCACATAACTTCACATCTAATTATAATTGCATTTTTGTACTCAATTAGACGACGGATCAACCGAAGAGCCCCGAGTGCTGGGACTGGCAATGATTCCCGGACCACACATTGTCTCCATTCATGTCGATAAACCACATCCCATCACATGATTCATGAATTTGTTGTTTCATTCATACATTCATTAGATTCTTGTTTTTTTTTTGTAAATTGTAGTAAAATTTGTTAAACAATTCAATATTTAATTGATATAAAGATTAAAATTATTTTAAAAGCCTTTGCATAAAAATTGTGAAAATAATTAATTAAAGCAAACAAAACAAGGACTCGATTCCGCAATTCATGACAAATATTGTCAAATAATAGTGATTTATATCGATTGACATATGATTGTCATAATAAAGTTACCAGGTTTATAGTTAAGTTATAATTAAACTAAAATTAAAACCAAAATTATAACGAAAATACTATCATTGATACTATCGTTGATAAGTTGATGTCAAAAAAGTAGCGGTAATTGAAATAACATGTGAAGTGAAGTTGGAGTGAATGTATGTGTAGTTTGTTATGAAAATGCAGTGAAAGTCACGTTGCGTTCAATTTTGGTGTTTTATTTGCCATTCATTTGGTTTTCCTTTACTTTCTGTTAATTTCTGTTATTTTAATCATTAATTAATAATTTATTTATTTTATTCAATGAATACATTGTTTAATACATTCAGTATTTAATACCAAAAATTAATATTGAGATTAATTATCTGTGATCTGATCCGCGAAAGTGATAGTCGAGACACAAATGGCGCCAATTCTTGCCGTAAGTATTGTTTTGACAGATGTTTTAGTTTAAGACATAAAATTGATTTGAATTGTCTGACAGTCGGGAACAATGATTGGCCAAAGATATCAAGTGACGGATCAGTTGAGTCATTACAAAGAGCTGTTCAAATGCGAGGACACGAGTGTCGCCGACGGCAACGATCGGCGCAAACAATTGGTACTCAAAGTGGAGAGAATTGGACACAAAGAGGACAACAAACGACTCGAAAACGAGTACCGATTCCTCCAAATATTGTCAACCAATCAATGGTACGATTTTATGATTGATTATCTGACGGACCAATCGTTTCGGTATCTATTGATGAGACCTTTGGGTCAGAATTTACGGGAATTTTGCGCACAAAAGAGAAAACTGAATGAATGGGGAATTCAGACGTTGATGTCGTTCGCCGACCAAATGATATCTCGTGTGGCGAACTGTCACTTAAGAGGTATTCTTCATCAGGACATCAAACCGGAAAACTTTATGGTCGACACCGAGAACTCGGATGTGTTGTATTTGATTGACTTTAATTTGGCCAAAATGTTGTTCAATGAGAGCGGAGCACACATTCCTCACCGCCGGAGAAGTGCCGTCCATTCGACGGGAAACGTCCAGTTCTTGTCAGTCAACGCACACGAAGGCCATCAACAGTCCCGAAGAGATGACCTGATCTCTGTTGGCTATACAATGATATTCTTAGCCAAGAAATCGCTTCCGTGGTCTCGTCATTCGTCGCGATACTATAGCTCGCGATCGGACTATTTATCAGCCGTCGGACAGCTTAAGAGCAGCTGTTCTGTCGATGAGCTTTGCGAAGGACTTCCCGATGCCTTCAAACAGTACTACTTAAACACAAACTCAAATTTCAAAATGCTTTGAGGGTTAATAAACTGTAATTCTTTTGACAAGTGACTAAGCAACTCTGTCTGTAGGCTTCTCTCAACACTATGTTTACCGCGTGTTTAACTACAAAATTTTAACGATATTTTGCCACAAAATAAGAAAAAAGTGTCTAATATTAACGCAAACTTTAGAGATCTGTCTCCGCCTATGATTTGCCCATAAGATTGACTTAAATCTGTTTTTGTTTTATTATTCAGTTTTATTTTTCATATTTGTTTTATATTAATTCATTTTAAATTATTTGTTAACAAATTGTTAGCCAATGGAGAAGCGGTATAAGCCGTCAGTTCCTATCATTCCGCTGGTCATCAGTAGACAATTGGCTAAACAGTTCCTATACTCTAACATAAAACACAGTTTTACTACAAGTTGTATAATTTAACAACTTTTCTGTATTACAACTTATAATACATTTTGGGAATAGATTTCTCAAACAATTTTATGGACACTTTTTATTTAATTAAAGCGTTTTAAATGAAATACAAATTTACGCTCAGGTTTTCATTACGGGTTTTTTACAATCTCATTATATTATATTATCGGATTGACAGACAGGCAAACAAAAATTTCGGTTAGTCTTCTCCGGTATTGATATTATCATTGTTTTGGAAACCGATTGAAAGAAATATTTTAATCGAATTCATTGCAGCGAATGATTTGATTTGTTTTCAATTCAATAGAGTTTGATATAAAACTATACAATGATTTGTTGGCCACTCTTTAGCCATTCACTCCATTAAATGCATTGTTTTTTTTTATAATACTGTAGTTATAAAATATATTCTGAGCTCTTCTGTTATTGACTAAATTTATTGTTTCGATCAATGTTTTCGTATAAATTCCTTAATTTATTGTATATTTTGTGATTTTTTTCCATGCAATTAGTGTTAAATTTATATGAATTTTATAAATTGCTTTGTTTTGTTCAATGAATTTTGCTTTAGATTAAAGATTAACTATAAAATCATTTTTCTATTCAATTAAAATTGAAAACAAACACTAAAGATAATGAGTAAAAGTCTCATTTGATTGTAATTTGTGCTAATGTTTAGATTATACAAATGATTATAGGCTTATATTTTGTCTTCAAATCTAATTTAACAAAAATTAATTTCTTTTCAAAAACAATTAAATGAATTTTTATGAAATTTATTCTGTAATATAATAAGCAATTGAAAACATTTATGCCATTACTATATGAAATGTGTTGACTTATATTATGTTAATTGCATGACATTATTAGAAAACTCATATTTGAAATATAAAATTGATTATTTTGTTTTGTTTTTGTTTGTTATATAAACGACAAAATAATTGAAAAAATACTTATTTAGAAATATAGAGAAAATGTCAAAACCAAGAAATTGAATGCAATTTTTGTTTTCATGTCCTCTAAATGATTGTCGTCTGAAAAGTGGTTCGCATTAAATGTTTTATTGATTACCACTTACTCTCTTCTCCACAGGGAATAAAGTAGTGGACAAACCATTAAAATAATGAACAAA